ACCGATCTGGGAAAGGAAAACGTAAAGAGAAAGAAAGACGCAAATCAAAAGTTCCAAGTGAAAGAATGCCACCGCTTCACTCGAACTGGCTGAGCTTTCAAAGAAAAATGGCTCGTTTTTCTCTCTGATTTCTTCTCACTGAAAGCGTATTTCTTATCCTCCAGACATGGACTGTCACGAGCGTGTTGTAAAACACGTGAAACTGCTTCCATTGAGACACTAACTTTTGAAGAAGTTTTGATTTCCGTACCCGTCTGGATAAAGTCGTATTATTTTCTCACGATACGGCGCTTATCTCGGTCGGATAGTAATCAGGGTTCTTCCCAGAATCATATCCTGTAGCATCCTTGAGAAACTTGTTCGTTATGAAGCCACCCCGACAAATTCAGCGTGAGCTGACACTTCAACAACTCCTGCGTCTCTTTTGCTAGGATTTTCCTTTTACGGAAGTTGACAGCGGTTTTGCCTTTGCTATAAGCTAAGGAACTTGAGTGGGTAATAATTTCAAAATTTGATTGGGTAAAAGCAAAATGCAGCGGAGAAACATGAGGTGGAACTATGATTTTGCGTCATAGGCAAGCGGGTATTTTCGAAAAAATGAGGATAAAAAATTTTTGCTTTCTCAAACTGGATTTCCGTGATAATATTCAGATTCGCATTTGCATGTGTCACAATTTGTCTGTAGAGCCCTTTTCAAAAACATCTCCAAATTCTAGTTTTTGGGAAATTTGTAGGTGGAACTAAGATTATGCGTCGCAGTGTACATGAAATTACATTGATACTAGGTGGGAGGAACGGGAGTCATTTGTAGAAAGTGACTAGGTCGGGGATCCGCTCCGCGCTGGAATTTGAGAAATCGACAAAAGCTGTCTGAGCAGCGCTCTTTGGAGTCTGATGGCTGCGCTTCACAAAGCGAACAGCCGAACTACTTCGTAATCAGTGCGTACTACTAGTAATACATTCAAGCAACATACATATCAAGTGCGAGAAGATGGAACGGGAATGTCTACATACAATAAGAATATTGGAAAGTCCAAGACAATTAGGTGCACCAGTAATTTTGCCCCACCCTGTAATTCACGACTATTTGGAGTGATTTTCTCATCTCAAGAGGTACGCAATCGACGAACTTCTTCTGGCTTCACTGAAAGCAACTTTCGAGCTCGGAATGCCAGGTAGATTTGCGACATCGTGTTTGAAGGCAAACCGACGGCGCAGAAATACACCATATTTTACGAGGTGAGTCTGTTTCAAAGTGGTTACTCCTGTGTAAGATAAGTTGTGCAACTCCTTCTGAAGCAGATACTAGTAAGTGGAGTCAGCTTACTGCGGCCCTCCGTTAGGTCTGAATCTCCAGGCAATTTCGTCTTTCGCTTTATCAGGTGCTAATAATCTACCAGTAATTTTATCAGTATCCAATGGTAATTTGATCGATGATAATTTCTGAGTTTGGAGAAACTTACTGGCGGGTTTGTCCATCTCTAAAAGCGAGTGGTTTCATTTGGGTCAGACACGTATATACACTGCGTCCCATAATTATACGTCCACCTAAGAATTTCCCAAAATCTCACAATATAGATGTTTTGAAAAAAGTCTTCAATGTACAATGTGTCATATATAAATACGGAATTGCCTATGAACATCAATTTTCTATTTGAGATCACAGGAATTTTTTCAATAATTTTTGTGTAAAAGGCCACTCAGCCGACGTCCCAAAATTATACGTCCACCTCACGTTTATCGATTACTTTTCACTTCTGTTCCACGAAACTTTTTCATTGTGGTAACACTTCACTTCTTAAGGGAACAGCATAATAAAGACTGCTGTTGGATTTTGAGAAAGGGAAAATGTCGCAAAAACTGTTGAACAACGCAATCGCACCAGATTTGGTCCAGATTCACGCCAAGCTTGAGAATTTTTTCAGGGGTTTCACATGATATGGAGTTTAGAAGAGCTCTAAAAGTCTCTCATTACTTTTCGATGGAAACAAAGGCCGTGTTACAGAAAAACATCCACTTTCATCCAACGGTGCTCTGTCATCGAATCTTCTTGAGAACTTTATGCCTCAACGGACTTTTGTTTCATGCATGTAAAGGAATCCCAAGATCATTCTTGATCGGAAAATGTGAAAGACGTTCATTTATGGCAAGGAATCGTGGCGAAAACTGGGCTGATTTTTGCATGAAGGTGCAGCCGAGCCGACTGAAGTAAGGTTCGCTTCTGCCCGATATTTGTTTGTTTCTCTTCTCACGTTTACCTTTCCCTTAATGGCTTTTTTCTTAGTGAAGCACTACTAAAAGAAAGAAAATGTTGAAAAGAAAGACAGACAAACACTCATGCATAGCAAGGAGAAAGGGACCCTGCTCCAGTCGGCTCGGCTGCACCTTCATGCAAAAATCAGCCCAGTTTTCGTCACGATTCCTTGCCATAAATGAACGTCTTTCACATTTTCCGATCAAGAATGATCTTGGGATTCCTTTACATGCATGAAACAAAAGTCCGTTGAGGCATAAAGTTCTCAAGAAGATTCGATGACAGAGCACCGTTGGATGAAAGTGGATGTTTTTTCTGTAACACGGCCTTTGTTTCCATCGAAAAGTAATGAGAGACTTTTAGAGCTCTTCTAAACTCCATATCATGTGAAACCCCTGAAAAAATTCTCAAGCTTGGCGTGAATCTGGACCAAATCTGGTGCGATTGCGTTGTTCAACAGTTTTTGCGACATTTTCCCTTTCTCAAAATCCAACAGCAGTCTTTATTATGCTGTTCCCTTAAGAAGTGAAGTGTTACCACAATGAAAAAGTTTCGTGGAACAGAAGTGAAAAGTAATCGATAAACGTGAGGTGGACGTATAATTTTGGGACGTCGGCTGAGTGGCCTTTTACACAAAAATTATTGGAAAAAATTCCTGTGATCTCAAATAGAAAATTGATGTTCATAGGCAATTGCGTATTTATATGCGATACATTGTCACATTAGGAGACTTTTTTCGAAACATCTGTATTTGTGAGATTTTGGGAAATTCTTAGGTGGACGTATAATTATGGGACGCAGTGTATGTATATCGTGTCGCGTTGATTCCTTTATGGTTTTTACCTTTCACTCTTTCGGGTCAGCCAACTGGTCTCAGGCTTGTCTCGAGCAACTTGCACATTGGTCGGATTAAAACAAACATATTTTTCGCTCATCATTTTCTTATCGTGAAGAATGCTCTCAAGCAAGCAATTTTTGGTGGAGAAAAATCATGTTCCTATAGAAGATTCCTTTAAACAAGCTTGCACAACTATTGAAATACAATACATGGCCCTCGCTCCACAGACACTACAGTAAAAGTGATAACAGTACATAGAAATGGTTTGAGGCGAAGTCTCGACAGCTCACTAGAAATAGGGAAAAATATGGTCAATTGTAGCTATGAAGAAAAAACAGAAAGCGGTTTAGGACTCGAGATATTGCTCTTTTTCGTCCGATTGAGCGTTGAGCGTGTCTCATTGGTGCTGACGTCATCAATGTTAATGCTACCCCTCTGCAGAGCGGCTGTAGTTACACAGCGGTGGGCGGGCAGCTGCGTGAGCTGGGCGTGTATAGCCCTAATAGGCCGTTGGAGTCGTGACCTTCTCTGTGAAACTCGCAACGTCCCGCACCTTTAGAGAGTCCGTCTCCCTTCTACTAGCTACTTTCCCTTCTTCTTTAGAGTACTCCTTCAAAAAAAGCGCAGGACCACCTGGTCACTAAAGGATTGGCAGATTCTAAGACAAGGTCACAGGTCGAGGAAGGGGCCATATACCGAGTCGAAAGGCAGGCGGGCCCCCTATCATAAGGGTGCGAAACGATGTGCATTAGGTGATGAGGAGGGCCGCACCGATGAGAGTCGCATCAATGCTGAAGTCAGCCGGAAGGGAGGTACATTGTTAAGGTTCCGAACTATTTCTCATGTTTGTTCTTCATCTCTGTACCACTGATCACCTCTATCTTGATTTCTAATGGGCTGCCTTTTCACTGTAGACTTCACCTTTAAGTTCAATGAATACTAATATCGGCAACAGCTCATACCTCTGCACTTTATAAACTCAGTGTATGACATTCATTAGTCACTCTACTGATCCCAAGAAAACTTCAGATTCACGATATGGGTAGAAAGAAAACGTGATCTTATAAACTGTACGAGCAAAATGCGTCGCCATAGCATATGCGTTTTGGGCATCGAAGACCTTCATATGCTATCAAGCAGACATGAACTTGTAGCGAACAAGGTTTGCTGCTTCCAATCTCAAGCATATATTGTGCTTTAGAAGAATTCGAATTCAGATCCTTCCATATTTCGACTACGCTATAGTTGACTGTGTCCATGAACTGCTCTTTAATAGAACACATCTCGGACAAGTTGATCACGAGTTGGATTTCAAGCGATATGACAGAAAATGTACGATTTTATGACCATTTATTGTATGTTTATTGCTTGTTAACTGTGACATCAATGGGTTCATATGATATTCTATGGGAACCGATCCATTGATCGGCCCTTTACTTAGATGGTAGGATAATATGGGCATGATTGTGGGAGTACCGGGGATTCCTCGATAAAAGCTCTATTTGGCTTTCTGAGAAATGGTACCGGCAGCCTATTTCGAAAGGAACGTTAAGACAAAGTGCGGTGTAGAGATCTTTTGCGAGAGTGTCTTGCTTCTGTTTTGCCTTCCAGGTTTGTTATGGTGGAATCTTTATTGGTCGACGTTTCGAACAAATCGTCGTTTTCAAGACCTAAAATTGGTTCGAAGCTCTAGTTTGTAGCCTATCCGCTTACACCCCACTAGTGCCAATGTTACAATTACTTCTCAGTAATCTCAAATCAAGATAAGATTCCAGCTAAAACCAACCTCCTACGTTTCCACCAGTACTGGATCCCCACTTGGCTCCGCGAACAGCTGACGAAAAATGAGGCACCGCTCACCCTCGCGTAATACGTGCGGTGGGTGGTGATATCATGATTCGCATAGAATGAAAGGCAGGAATTCACTTGTA